AAATCGTGTCTTGCCCGTGTCATCACTACGCCTCTAAATCGTGTCTTGCCCGTGTCATCGTGCCATCGCTACACCTCTAAATCGTGTCTTGCCCGTGTCATCACTACGCCTCTAAATCGTGTCTTGCCCATGTCATCACCACGCCTCTAAATCGTGTATTGCCCGTGTCATCACCACGCCTCTAAATCGTGTCTTGCCCGTGTCATCACTACGCCTCTAAATCGTGTCTTGTCCGCGCCATCGTTGCTACACCTCTGAGGCTGAGTGCATGCTACATAGTTTGTGACAGTGATTAATACACAAACACCGTGTCATTTAAAGATAGGCCTAATAGGGTAATGAAATGTAAATACTGCTCTTAATATCTCCACTGTGTACATTGTATAACATTTAACTTGAATCAGTAGGGATTGGTTTTTTAAATGTTTTTTTTTTTTTTTTTTTTTTTTTTTGGGGGGGGGGGGGGTTTTTTTTAAAGAAATAATTTATATTTCATTAATAGGGGGAGTCAGGGTTGTAGGGAAATAGTGTGTTTGGGGGTGGTGGGTTGGGGCGGAGGGGTCTGGATTAGCCGAGCCAGTTTTTGACGCTAAGGGGAGCTAAAAAATATATACATAGGCGTAAAGACTTGCAAATTAAAATAATCAGTTCAAGAAGTATAAATTGATGATTATATGCGTCTTATTTCTCTATTCGAAACACCTTAACTTCCAACATTTTGGAATGGACGGGGAGCTGGGGAAGTCTAGGCCCCCGCCCCAGAAAATTTTAGATAGGCCTACATCAAAAATTGAGGGGTGCATTTTGACGCATACCAGAATTGAGGTTTTCATCATTGTCCACTCAGTCGGAGAGCGACAGAAGATATGTTAGAGGAAATGTAGGCTCCCTGACAATTGACATGAATGTGATCATACAAAGCCTTTATTTTTAGTTGTTGCCAAACAGTTCTGCTGGTTTACGATTTAATTTTTTTTTTAAACCACTCATTCAATAAATGAATGTTTAAAATTAGTCTTTGTGTCTTGTTTTAAATATCCTGTCAATCCACCGCTTCTCCAATCATCTGGCGCGCGTTGGATCTCGGAGTTGCTCTCTTCAATAGGCAGCTGTTGTTATTGATACACATTGGCATCGTTACTCGGTGTTTATTGGTTTATTATTAGTAATCAATAGCTCGTAATATCACCCAAACTCGGCATCCTTCACTTAAAGAACTATTTGGATAAAAAAGGATGTAAAACGAAAAAAAAATGTGTATGATACATTCCACCCTCTTCATGACAGATGCCTAAGATCAGCTCGATCGGGGCGATTTCTTCATCTTAAAATAAGAACCGAAAGATATAAATATTTATTTTGTTCCCCGGTCTATTATACTAATTTACCGGAAACGCATAGCCGCAATTCGGACCCGTGTCCCATTAGTCATTAGACTAAATGCCATTCAGATGCCATTTGGGGTAGTTTATTTTAGTTAAACTGGAGAATTAAGTTTATAAACATATAGCCCATTCAATTATCTTTTATGCAATACCAAAGTTTATCATACAAACCCTACAATAACATTTAAAGATTTTTTTTTTATAAACCCAACCTCTCACTTCTGATAACGGGTCCGAATAGCCGCAACCTTCTCATAATGGAATTTCAATGTAAAATTTCATTTTTTAAAAATCCACAGAAAACTTTAATTGCACTACCGGGTTATACTTTGTTTACTTCCGGTAGCTTCTCTATTTTTTTCTCCCAACCGTTCTGTTCATTGATGCGCCGAAAAACTAAATAATATTTTGTGACAGTTCCACGCTGACACTGTTTAAATAAACTTCTGTTTGGGCTGGCCACCACTGATATAGAAGATCCTCCGACCGATCCTCAACCCCCATTTCTCAAGACTCAATGATGCCACACACATTCATAAACATTTGTGAAATAGATCCTTCATATAATATAAAATAAGGAAACATAAGATTAACCATTCCTAATACTTTACTAATGTATGAGTTTCATTAGTTTGGATGGGGTCAGTGCAATTCTTTTTGAGAATACCAATACATGAAAACCCGATGAAAGTTACAGGCGTTAAAATGTGGCTTTACTTTAGATGTTAAGTTTCTGGGTTAAAATGTAATTTAAGAATGAATAAAATACTGGAATATTAAACAAGCAAGACTTCGTTTATAAAGTAGAATTAATACAATTTGCACTTTCCATTTTGACCAGGGTAATACCACGTCATATATTCTAGTATGTAATGTAGGCCTATGTATGTATGTGTATAGTATATATGTTATACACACACTATAATTTATAATCTCCAAATGAGAACTTAAAGCCTAAATTTTTTTTGTTTTCAGATAAACCAAACGTATACTTTGGAAGTGGCCTTTACCTCTCGGCTAATTAATAGTCTGTCTGGTCTTTATTACAGTACCTATACAAGGAATGGCAATCCTGTGTAAGTTTCAATGTAATTGTGGAGTTGTCTTCCCTTCTTGGTGCATGTACAAGCTTCAGTATTGTAATGGGGTACCAGCTGTTATTAGGTCATTTTTGTCATGGGGTACCAGCTGTTAATAGGTCAGTTTTGTAGTGGGATACCAGCTGTTATTAGGTAATGTTTGTAGTAGAGTACCAGTTTTTCTGTTACCAGAACATATCTCTAGTGGGGGTACCCATTATTATGTAGTTGAGTACCAGATATTGTGATGCAATGGGATTAATTGTTTTAATATGAATTATTGCATCACAGTTATTATGTTCATGCAATGATTTAAAGCAAAATTTATGATAATTTTATTTTAAAAATCTGAATCCATGAATAAACTGTGCCCAGAATTCTGGATCCATGACTTAAATGTGCTTAACATTTTGATTCCATGACATAACTCTGCCTAACATATTCATATTTTAGTTCACCAGAAGTATATTTTAAAATTACTTTAGAATTGAGCCTGACATATTTATTTATTTCCATCTACAGTTACCTGGCCACAACCCAGTTTCAGCCAACAGATGCCAGGAAAGCCTTTCCGTGCTTCGATGAGCCCGCCATTAAAGCAACATACAACATCACACTTGTTAGGCCAATCAATTTGACATCCATTTCTAACATGCGCATCATCAACAACAGCACAACTGTGTAAGTTCTAACAGTATGTTTAAAACCTATAAGTGCCAGTGGTAAAGCCACTTTAAAATTCTTAATATTTACATCGTAACAGTATTAATAGTTCTAGCGATGGGCCATGATCATGGTTAAATTGATAGCAAGGTATGCTTCTGAAACATCTCAGTGATAGTTACGTTGAAGCATCCAACAAAACCAATGTATTCATGATATTGAAATAATAAAAGTGGCCAGGGAATTCCAAAACTATCACCTTAATCTAAGTCATATCCATGCAGAAGTGAGGCAGGTGTTACTTATGTAAAGGATGTTTATAAAACTGTCACCTTAATCTTGGTCCTATCCATGCAGAAGTGAGGCAGGTGTTACTTATGTAAAGGATGTTTATAAAACTGTCACCTTAATCTTGGTCCTATCCATGCAGAAGTGAGGCAGGTGTTACTTACGTAAAGGATGTTTATGAAACTGTCATCTTAATCTTGGGTCCTATCCATGCAGAAGTGAGGCAGGTGTTACTTACGTAAAGGATGTTTATGAAACTGTCACCTTAATCTTGGTCCTATCCATGCAGAAGTGAGGCAGGTGTTACTTACGTAAAGGATGTTTATGAAACTGTCATCTTAATCTTGGGTCCTATCCATGCAGAAGTGAGGCAGGTGTTACTTACGTAAAGGATGTTTATGAAACTGTCATCTTAATCTTGGTCCTATCCATGCAGAAGTGAGGCAGGTGTTACTTACGTAAAGGATGTTTATGAAACTGCCATCTTAATCTTGGGTCCTATCCATGCAGAAGTGAGGCAGGTGTTACTTACGTAAAGGATGTTTATGAAACTGTCATCTTAATCTTGGGTCCTATCCATGCAGAAGTGAGGCAGGTGTTACTTACATAAAGGATGTTTATGAAACTGTCATCTTAATCTTGGGTCCTATCCATGCAGAAGGGAGGCAGGTGTTACTTACGTAAAGGATGTGCATGAGACAACACCAAAAATGTCCTCCTATCTGCTGGCATTCATCTTCTGCGACTTCACCTACACTTCTGGAATAACACAAAATGGAATCCTTGTAAGTTTTCTCTCAAATTTGTATTTACTGCCCCTACTCCTCTGCCGTTACTCCTCTGCCCCTACTCCTCTGCCCCTACTCCTCCGCCCCTACTCCTCCGCCCCTACTCCTCCTCCCCTACTCCTCTGCCTCTACTCCGCCCCTACTCCTCTCCCCTACTCCTCTCCCCTACTACTCTCCCCTACTCCTCTCCCCTACTCCTCTGCCCCTACTCATCTGCCCCTACTCCTGTGCCCCTACTCCTCTCCCCTACTCCTCCGCCCCTACTTCTCTGCCATTACTCCTCTCCCCTACTCCTCCGCCCCTACTTCTCTGCCCCTACTCCTCTGCCCATACTCCTCTGCCCATACTCCTCACTACTACAAAAAGAACTAAAACACTCTTATCTTAAAATCACTTTTTAACACACAAAAATTGTCCTTTCTAAGCCAATGTTTTCATTTATGTCTTATAACCACTGTTTTCATTTATGTCCATTTGCACTAAAACGCCCCTACCTATGTAGTACATACAAACGCCCCTACCTATGTAGTACACACAAACGCCCCTACCTATGTAGTACACACAAACGCCCCTACCTATGTAGTACATACAAACACCCCTACCTATGTAGTACATACAAACGCCCCTACCTATGTACTACACACAAACGCCCCTACCTATGTAGTACACACAAACGCCCCTACCTATGTAGTACACACAAACGCCCCTACCTATGTAGTACATACAAACGCCCCTACCTATGTAGTACATACAAACGCCCCTACCTATGTAGTACACACAAACACCCCTACCTATGTAGTACATACAAACGCCCCTACCTATGTAGTACACAAACGCCCATACCTAAGTAGTACACAAAAACACCCCTACCTATGTAGTACACAAAGACACCCCTACATATGTACACACAAACGCCCCTACCTATGTAGTACACACAAACGCCCCTACCTATGTAGTACACAAAAACGCCCCTATCAGAATCCAACCCACAAAACTTTTCCACTTGAAACATTATTAATGCCACAGTAAAACAATTTTTTGACCAGTATCGGGCATGGTCAAGACCAGAAGAGGTCAACAGCACATTGTATGCCTTGGATGTTGGCATGAAAATCATCACATATTACGAGCATTTTTTTCAAATCCGCTTCCCACTTCGTAAACAAGGTAATCAGTTGTGCTTGTCTTTTTTGGTGCTTTTTTAAAATTTGGTTGGGGGTTATTTTTGTTTGATTTTTAAAGTTATTTTATTTTGGATGCGGGAATATAATAATTATAGTGTTAATTGGATATACAGTGGAACCTCGGAATCCGAACTTAAACCCTCCCAGAAACCCGTTAAAATTCCAAATCGTTCAGTTTTAAAAAAAAATAAATTCCCTTTAAAATACAATTTTTAAAAAAAATGGATTAATAAGTTTCTGGGTCCCACAGACTTGATGTCATAAAAAGATGGAGTACATCTGATATCAATGCATAAATAAATGACACAAGTAAAAGAAATATAGTAATCCATATTGGCATAGTAATAATATTTTGTTAAAGAATGTCTCAACAACACAAGAGCTCTCAGTGTAATTACAAAAAAATTAGGATTGGATCCTGTCCTCCCTGCGTTCATTGTGTTCTGTGGTGCGCTCTCATTCACTGCTTCACCCAATTGTACTCACCAAATGCACACATAAGAACATTTTTGCTACCCACCACTCATTGGCAACTTACAAGCCATGCCTAAAAGTAAGTCAAATGAAGGTTCTGAGGGGAGAGATGGAAAGTTTTGTAACAGTTAAATTACGTAGCTTTTCCTGTCATTCTAATGATTTTAAGTGTCCCGGTTTTAAATATAAAAAAATTCAGTGTCTACATTTTCATTTTTTTAAAAATGGGAACCTTAAAAAGCACCAAAAAAAATTGTCTGGGCATTCAGATGCCAAAGGGAATTTGCTTGAATTTTTAGTTCAGATTGCAAGTTCCGGGGTTTTAATGTAAAGGCAATAAAATCAGTTGATTGAAAACATAATATGTCTACAAAAATCAATTAATTGTGAATGTATTAACTACTGAAAAAAAAAATCAATTCATGCAATGATAAAAAAACACTATCAGCTAAAGCAGTGCTATGAATACTGGTACGTAAGTTTTTTTATATATAACAGTCAGGGCTGGATTGAACTAATGAAGGGCTCTCTGCTATTCCATTTGGGAACCCTTCTACCCCCCCCCTCAAAAAATACACACACCCACCAAAAAATCGTTTAATTAATTTTATCCTTGCACAATTGTTTTATATATTTTATTATTTTATATCTTAATAATACTTAATAACAAATATTCCAAAAAATATACATTGTATTACCTGGAATGTGTCCTTATAGTTGCAATGTCTACCTGACAGTGCACACTAAATATTACTTAACTTATTATTAAACAATGTGTTTCATAATTCTTTTTAGTAATGATGGATGAAGGAAAACCGATTTAAATACCTACAGTAAGATTAATTATTTTTGTTTAAGCTTGCTCATAGCTTAATCGGCGGGAAAATTCATAAAAAATTTGTTTTCTAAATTGATCATTTTTGATGCAGGAAATACGTAATGATGATGACAGAATAAGTCCTTCTGTGGGCCTATGGCTCTGTTTAACAGTGATGAAATTCTCACAGTTCATGATCTTTGGGATATATTTCCTCCAACAGTTCCTCATAAATTTCTTGCCAATACTTTTTTATGTCATGATACTTATGCTGAGTAGCTCTGCCTCTTGTATTAGATTCAAGTGCATCTAATGTAGGACAAAATAATTTTATCCTGAATTATTTTGGTAGANTTTTCTAAATTGATCATTTTTGATGCAGGAAATACGTAATGATGATGACAGAATAAGTCCTTCTGTGGGCCTATGGCTCTGTTTAACAGTGATGAAATTCTCACAGTTCATGATCTTTGGGATATATTTCCTCCAACAGTTCCTCATAAATTTCTTGCCTATACTTTTTTATGTCATGATACTTATGCTGAGTAGCTCTGCCTCTTGTATTAGATTCAAGTGCATCTAATGTAGGACAAAATAATTTTATCCTGAATTATTTTGGTAGATTTTATCTAATGCCTGTGTTAGGATTGCGAAATTGTCTTAATGTTTCTTTTGTGTCTTTGTCTCCTTAATTAACGCAGCTTCATAGCCACCATTTTGCTGTGTTGATTTAATTTTAGCACAAATTAGACATGTCTTTCTCTAGATATGATAGCTATACCAGAACATGTCTTTCTCTAGATATGATAGCTATACCAGACTTTGCAGCTGGTGCTATGGAAAACTGGGGTCTTATCACCTACAGGTAAGTTTGTGCAATAATATCCAGATTGCATATACATAACTGGTCTTATATACCTAACGGGTCTTATATATATAACAGGTCTTATATATATAAGGTGCTATGGAAAACTGGGGTCTTATCACCTACAGGTAAGTTTGTGCAATAATATCCAGATTGCATATACATAACTGGTCTTATATACCTAACGGGTCTTATATATATAACAGGTCTTATATATATATAACAGGTCTTATATGCATCACAGGTCTTATATACATAACTGGTCTTATATACCTAACAGGTCTTATATATATATCAGGTCTTATATGCATCACAGGTCTTATATACATAACTGGTCTTATATACCTAACAGGTCTTATATATATAACAGGTCTTATATGCATCACAGGTCTTAAATACATAACAGGTCTTATATACATAACAGGTCTTATATGCATCACAGGTCTTATATACATAACAGGTCTTATATGCATCACAGATCTGGACAAAGTTCTCAGGCTTCTTCAGGGTTATGACAAAGTTGGGGACAAGTTAAAAAAACAAAAACATTCCGGGGGAGAGGCACTGTCCAAAATGTATTAAATAATAGCTCTATCTTCTCTTGTTGATGTAAAACTATTTGATGTGCTATCTTCTCTTGTTGATGTAAAACTATTTGATGTGCTATCTTCTCTTGTTGATGTAAAACTATTTGATGCTCTATCTTCTCTTGTTGATGTAAAACTATTTGATGCTCTATCTTCTCTTGTTGATGTATGACGGACTATTTGATGTGTTATTTTCACAAGAGAAACTGCAATGCTGTACAAAGACGGTGTTTCCAATGAAGCCAACAGAGAGAGAGTGGCTGTTGTAGTGTCCCATGAACTAGCTCACCAGGTCAGTTTTAGAGTAAACCCGGTCAGCCATGACCTGACGGCAGACTTAAACATTTCAAGGGAACTCTGACATGTCTGCATTTAGTATCAGTCCAAAAACGAGAAAACTTCAAGCAAAAAGCAAGAATTATTATTATTTAAATGTGCTTATTATTGTAAGACCAAAAAAAATCATTTAATTTTTAATAATCTTACTTCACAAATGTGAAAAGCAGAAATTTTCAAAAAATAAGACTCGCCCACCGCCAGGGGCCTCCCCCTCAACATCTAGTGCTGGTCATTTGGTCGACAGGTGCGCTTGAGTTTCTGGTACCAGGCTGCAATGCCGGCAGGCATTGTTATTGTGTAGCCTGTGAAAGCATGCTAAGAAATCTAACAAACAACTGAGCAAGTCGGTGGCTTGGGTACGTACAACTCAATGGCAGGAGTTGTGTTATGTACACAGGGTGTCAGGTACGTACAACTCAATGGTAGGAGTTGTCTTAGGTACACAGGGTGTCAGCCATGTACAACTCAATGGCAGGAGTTGTGTTACATACACAGGGTGTCAGCCATGTACAACTCAATGGCAGGAGTTGTGTTAGGTACACAGGGTGTCAGCCATGTACAACTCAATGGCAGGAGTTGTGTTACATACACAGGGTGTCAGGTACGTACAACTCAATGGCAGGAGTTGTCTTAGGTATACAGGGTGTCAGCTGTATAAAATCCTAGCATTGTTTGACCTACAACTCATGACCAGTGGTGCAGGAAGGGGTACAGAGGGGGTGGTCCACCCGGATGGCTTCTTTTTCCTTATATTAAAGAGCAACATGTTCGGCCAACTGCAAAGTATTTTTCATGAAATTGAGTGGAGACAAAAAGCTTGGCCCACCCCGGGCGGACCCCACCCCCTGCTACGCCACTGGGCACGATTAACAATTTCTATTACAGAACAATATTTTTGTAACCTCTCAGCCAACCAAATTGATTTTTTTGCTGCATTTCATATTTCCAAGGACAAAAGTCTTCATGTTTTTAAAATGCTTAACGTCTCATTTAGTTGTTTTTTTAAATTAATGCTTTTCATTTTCTCCATACACCTTTGCAAAGCAAAGGTTTACAGCTAGTATTTCATGTTGATTCAACCTCAACCCAGTCCCCAATATGCTCATTAAATATTATAAATGTATGGGCCCTACCTCATCAATATGTTGTAAAGGTTTAAAACTGATATTTTACTCTGCATATCTCTAGTGGTTTGGTGACCTTGTATCTCCAGCATGGTGGGATGACTTGTGGCTGAACGAGGGCTTCGCTACATTTGTGGAGTACCTTGGTGTAGACTTTGTACATCCTGATTGGAAAATGGTTTGTGAAATGTTACTGTTCATAATCTCGTGCTCTGCTAATGGTAGGCCAATCAAATTTCTTATTTTTCAACTAAACTCTCATTAAAAAATAGCCACTGCCTAATTTCATATCAAATAGTCACGCAATCTCATTATCAAATAGTCACACAATCTCATAACAAATAGTCATACAATCTCATATCAAATAGTCACACAATCTCAAATCAAATAGTCACATAATCTCTTTCAAATAGTCACAAAATCTCATATCAAATAGTCACAAATCTCATATCAAATAGTCACATAATCTCATATCAAATAGTCACATAATCTCACATCAAATAGTCACAAATCTCATATCAAATAGTCACACAATCTCATATCAAGTAGTCACAAAATCTCATAACAAATAGCCACAAAATCTCATATCTAATAACCACTAATGCAATTTTTAAAAATATTTCAAAACAGTGGACTTTTTCTTTTAGAATGATTCTTTAAATATTTATTTTATGTTAAACTTTGTCACACTATAACATTGATAGCTCAAAGTTTTAAAAAAAAATTGAATTATGGGATTTTAACAATGGAAATAAATATTCAATTAGTGAATTGCAAAGTAAGGGGAGAAAATGAATTATATTCCTAACACAGAGTGTTGTTAGACAGTTTGTCACACTATAACATTGATAACTCAAAGTTTAAAACTGTCTTACAACAAGCTGTGTTAGGAATATAATTCATTTTCTCCCCTTACTTTGCAATTCACTAATTGAATATTTGTTTCCATTGTTAAAATCCCATAATTCAATTTTTTTTTTTCCTTTGTGTGTTCCCAAAATGCCACATTCCTTTCCAGTTGTGTAGTCCTATTCTCATAATCCAAAATTTCTTTCCTTTTATTCATTTGCTCTGCAGTTTGACACCTTTGTGGTCAGTGAATTACAAGATGCCCTGGCTTTTGATGGTCTGGTGTCCTCCCATCCCTTGTATGTCCCTGTAGGACATCCTGATGAGATCAATGAGATATTTGACGCAATCTCATACGCCAAGGTCAATCTATAAGCCAGCCCTGTATATGTTTATTTTCACATGGTGGAGATTAAGTGTCCGTAGCCAAGAAAAAAAACTAAATAGGAATTGATGGTGCTGACAGGCAATGACCAATGTCCTGAAAAGAACTTGTGAGATCATGGCCTTTATTTTGATATCAATCAAAGAAGAAATCAAATATGAAAATAAGATGAATTCCCATTTTCTGCAAAAAATATGAATTTATTACACCCCCATTCATTATAATGATCTAAGATATGGTACAAACATGTTGTAAGAGCTAATCTAAGATATGTTACAAACATATATATAAGAATGAGCTAGAGTGACACAACACCAAAAGGGAGATATGATTTAATTTAAGTACGTTTGGATTCCTAAAAACAATCATAGTTATTTTCTATTATTTTACGGAAATCAAATAAATTTAAATGCGCAAAAAATATTCTAAATCCGCTTTTATTTTAGTAAAAGTTTAAGTATTATAAATGTAAATTACCAATACATTTAAAGTATCAAAAAAGGAACTATTTTAAGCATTTTTTATGTATTTGAAAGTTATGAAAAAAAAACAAAAAAACATCATGATCAAAGAATTACACTGTAATCACGTATATTGGGAAAAACCAAGCATCAGTCGTTTTTAGTGCGTCTTTAATATTGCGAATTAAAATTAATTTGTTCGAAATAATCACGCAAATGACCTCATAGCACGAAAAGCCTATTTCTCCAAAACTCTTAGGTTTCTTTAAATTTAATAACCATGCGTGACAAAGCTGATAATTTATTTTCCCTTCTTAAAAGTAAAAGTAATAAATACAAATAATTGCTTTTTAAATTGTTAATAAAACACACACACATTTTTGCTTTGTATATTTTTACATTTAAAAATTTAAAAATTTTGCCTGTTTTGATCCCAAAAATGTACTTTTATTAAATTTATAACGTATAAAAACTAACCTTTAAATATAATTCTAATAAGAAAGTGCGGTTTAAGTCAAACAGTGCAGCGCCACTCCCTAGCTAAATAGCATTCACTAATCCACTTACACCTCATACAAATAAGAACGAACCATATGAAGTGCTAAAGATGTTAGTTTGGGTATGGAAGGGACTAAAATCCGGTGGAAGATTTTCTAAATTTATTTAAATCTGGGTGGGGGAAGGGTTGGTCACTTTGCCCCAGGCAGCACAAGATAATTGTCAAAATAAAGGAATTAATTTGATTAATAATTAACCTTCTTGGGTACATTAATATCGGAGGTAGGAAATAGGATGTGTACATTTTTACGTGGATGACAATATATTTAAATCATATGGTATTACATTTATGAATAAAAGAGATTTTGCATTCTCTTTTTAAAAATATGGGTATGTTCATTTTGTCCAAGGCAGCAAAAGATACGTCACAAAATAAAGGAATGATTTTGATAAATAATTAACCTTCTTGGGTAAATACATAGCAGAGATAGGAAAAAGGATGTGTTCATTTTTACGTAAATGACAATAAATTTAAATACTATGGTATTACATTTGTGAAAAAAGAGATGTTAAATTCTCTTTTTACAAATAAACATATGTTTACCAATTAATAAAATCAATGGCGTTAACAAATCGTGGGTATATTTATATAAGTATATCCATGAATATCACAAACCAATTGTTTTACACACTTGAAAATTCAATTTTGACAAATGAAGATGGGTTAATATTTCCTTTCTTAAAAAAATGAAAATATGTTTTTGTTGTTTCTTTACAAAAAGTAAAGATGTGTGTATTTTTATGAGATTAACAATTTAATTATTTTAAAAAGACAGTCAAATCTGATATAGGCGTGAAAAGCAGTTGCGAGATTTTTCTTAGTTACATAATTCTTTGTTTTACGATTTTCTGATAATGTATAATTTTTAAAAAAGGCAAACGTATGTGTAAATTTTTTACAAAGACATCAATATATATCGAATTCCTGTAATACAAAATATATTGATATCATATATAAAGTTTTTGTTGTAAATTTAAGATTAGGTTATTAAAACATTTGAGAGAAAAAAGTTGTAATTCAAGGGCACGAAAAGGGGTAAATCTTAAGTTTTTCTCTAGCGTAGTAATTGTCACTCAATTAATTTCTTTAGTGACAAAAGTGATATAATTAGTGATAATTTAGACTGGTTAATTTAAGTTAATGTGCAGAGGGGGAAAAGTAGTTTAGGAGTGTGACGGGGTGTAGGATATGTGTATCATATATAGCAGATAAGCACTTCTCAAACGTAAATATCATTACTTTACATTTTAAAAGTTATGAATTGGGATGAGTTTTTGCAATAGCAGTTAGAAATTATTGCAAAGGACCTACCATTATTATCCCGATAACATTGGGTCATTTATTCTAGTTTTGTAAGAGCTAATCTAAGATATTTCACAAACATGTTGTAAGAGCTAATCTAAGATATGTTACAAACATGTTGTAAAAGCTAAGAACTGTTTTTAACTGGGTCCTCTATTGTTTATTCCAGGGTGCTTCTGTCATTAGAATGATGCGCCATTTTCTTGGCTTGGGTACATTCCAGAGAGGAATGAATGTGAGTTGACTTCAAACATATTTCTTCAACTTAATTTAAATACATGTACCCAACTTGTTCTTAGTTAATTATAAAATTTGTCATTTAAATACATTTATCAAAATTTAACTTGTTCTAACCATATTATTTTTTTAGCTTCAAACCTATAAATACATGGATGAAAATGGTAACTGGGAACTTATGAGTTGATCTATCTTGCCAAGAATGTAGGCACAACTTGGTCTGTTTTGGCACATGGAGGCATACCATGTAAAAGCACAAGAAAGCATACCATGTAATAGCACATGAAAACATACCAGGAAATGCAAATAAAAATAGATCATGAAAACCTCATATGTAACACAAGCACATGGAAACAAATGTAATAAAAGCACATGAAAACATGTAATAAAAGCACATGAAAATGTATGTAATAAAAGCACATGAAAACATATGCAATAAAAGCACATGAAAACATCATATGTAATAAAAGCATATGAAAACATAGCATATAACAGAGATGAAAGCATAGTTTGTAAAAGCATAATATGAAAACAAGAAATAGTAAATCAAGACATAGCATGTTATAATAAGACGAAAAATAAAAAGTGAAAAAATAGCATATTATAGCACATTAAAACAGAATGTAATAATAACTCAGAATGCACATTAAAACATAGCATGAAAAATAATAATTCAGAAAACATAGCATGTAATAATAACATTATGGCATATGAAAACAGTATTAAATAGTACTGGGCTTTGGCTGGAATAGAACTCCTGACCACCAACTTGAGATTTGCTCAGTTTAGACCACTGGGCCACCCAGCATGTAATTTGTAATTTAACCTAGAAAACATAGCATGTTTTACTGACACCCATCCGTCACGATGTGACGATGGTGAAGACTTTGCAAGATGAAATCTACAAGGCCTGGGATTATTCTTCTAGGATTATAAGCTGGTTCCCAAATGGCCTCTCTCCACACCGCTGGATAACCCGGGGGAACATCAGCTTGGCACCAGTAGCGTTGCAGGAGTTGTCGGAATGTTTCATTGTACCAATGTTATCCCCCTACGGGACACCATCTCCGGCTTTGAATTCAGAGTTTCCTTCTCTGAGATGAGTTGCCATCCAAGGTCCCATCCGCCAGAGTCCCATCCACCCAAGTCCCATCCGCCCGAGTCCTATCCACCCGGGATGCTGGTGATGTTTTTGCTTTACTGGGCTTTGGCATGTAAAAGCACATGAAAACATAGCATTTAATACCACAAAAAACAGCGTGTAATAGCACATGAAAACATAGCAGGTAATAGCACATGAAAGCATAGGGTGTGGGGCACAAGAAATCATAGTAAGCATTAGCATATGAAAACACAGCATTTAATAGCACATTAAAACATAGCAGGTAATAGCACATGAAAGCATAGGGTGTGGAGCACAAGAAATCATAGTAAGCATTAGCATATGAAAACACAGCATGTAATAGCACATGAAGTCATAGCATTGTATGTCACATTGCCACTGGGTATAACAATTGCTCATGCTTCAATAGTAAATTGTGTACCTTAACATGCCTTTCGTGTTTATGCTTTGCTTTTTCAATTTTTAATATTTTCTTTTCAGAGATACCTGACATCAAAACAGTATGATGCAGCCTCCCATGATGATCTTTGGTCAGCTCTTTCTCAGGTCAGACATCTATCTATCATGTCTCCTTCTTACTCAGGTCAGACATCAATCCATCATGTCTCCTTCTTACTCAGGTCAGAGATCAATCTATCATTTCTCCTTCTTACTCAGATCAGACATCTATCTATCATTTCTCTGACACTTCAAATTTTGGGTCATAAAAATATTTAAAACAGGCCCCTATGCAACTGGTTTTTAAAGATTTTATGAATGGAGTCTAAGTCATACATGCCTACCTGCACGGTTTACCCGTACTTTGTTCAGCTTTTTGATCCCACTGGTTGGAAGGTTGGCATTGTTAGGCAGGTTAGTATGTACGGCAGGTTGGCATTGTTATGCAGGTTAGTATGTGTGGCAGGTTGGCATTGTTATGCTGGTTAATATGTGTGGCAGGTTGCATGTATGGCAGGTTGGCATTGTTAGGCAGGTTGGCATGTATGCTAGGTTTGGCATGTATGCCAGGTTGGGATTGTTAGACAGGTTGACATGTATGGTCTAATTTCATCCCAGCTTACGTCCGAACCGAAAGAATCCTTGGACGGTGGGGGGGGAGGGGGTGATAACGCAACACCTTCACCTTTCCCCCGGAGAGGAAGCAAAGCCGTCCTGACCCATGAAGAGTTGACCACAAACGCTTTAAACGCAGCGTTTTCAGTCGACCGGACGTCCCCCAGGCCGGGGAAGGTTACCGGCGTGCTTCTGCGCGGTCTGGCAGCGGGGAGACCCGGCGTCTGGCTCTTGTGTGGGTGTGTCGGGGGGTATTAAGAGCTCGCGCTCGACGACCCACCGACACCATTTCCAATGTGGCATTATTAGTATGGTCTAATTGCCTCTGACTTGTATACACTTTAAACAAACTTTGGTCAAATAAAAAAATCATTCACAAAACAGCCACATTTTCGCAATTTACCGAGTGATGTGTACAATATTAATATCATTCATTAATTATTATAGTGTTACTTCACTACAGTTTTAAAGTAGTAAAAATGCAATTCATGAATTAAAATGTTTGATAAAAATCTTGTTCATTTTGTTTGCTTGGTTTCCATCATGAATTAAATGTTTTGAGATAGTGTATAAATATTTATATTATTTATTTACAATCAAGCAAGCCAGAACAGAAGGCAAAGACATTGATATCAAAAGTGTTATGGACACATGGACACTTCAGATGAACTACCCTGTGGTCACGGTGACCCGTACGACCGGTAGGGCTGACAGTGTCACTGTGACCCAGGGAAGATACCTAGATAACCCGGATACCCCTGAGCTTGGAAAATATGTGTCTCCCTTTAAGTAAGTGTTGGAAAACATGTGTCTCCCTTTGAGTAAGTGTTGGAAAATATGTGTCTCCCTTTAAAGTAAGTGTTGGAAAATATGTGTCTCCCTTTAAGTAAGTGTTGGAAAATATGTGTCTCCCTTTAAGTAAGTGTTGGAAAACATGTGTCTCCCTTTAAGTAAGTGTTGGAAAATATATGTCTCCCTTTAAGTAAGTGTTGGAAAATGTGTGTCTCCCTTTAAGTAAGTGTTGGAATATATGTGTCTCTCTTTAAGTAAGTGTTGGAAATGTCTGTCTCTGTGCTACCTGTCAATGTGCTACCTGCCACTGTGATATCAGTTCCTTTGCTATCTGTCCTTTAGCTATCTATCCATGTGCCATCTGTCCCTGTGATATATGTGCCTGTGCCATCCATGTGTCTCCCTTTAAGTAAGTGTTGGAAAATATGTGTCTCCTTTTAAGTAAGTGTTGGAAAATATGTGTCTCCCTTTAAGTAAGTGTTGGAAAATATGTGTCTCCTTTTAAGTAAGTGTTGGAAAATATGTGTCTCCCTTTAAGTAAGTGTTGGAAAATATGTGTCTCCCTTTAAGTAAGTGTTGGAAATATTGTTGTTTCCATTGAAATAAGTTTAGGAATTTGGAGGATATGTCTCTCCCTTTAAGTATGTTTGATAGTATGTGTCTCAATTTAAACAAGTTTTTGAAAATATCTGTCTCATATGTGTCCATGCAAACATTCTATTTTCTATTTCATTAAATTTTAAAATTTTAGTTTTTTTGTGTGTATTAATGTTGAAACTTCAATCTCTATTTATTTATGAGTAAAGAATTACAGTCAGAATAAGGTTTTATCCAGATTAAGACTTCAAATGCTGATCCAGATTAGTATTACTAATGACAGTTCAAATAGGGGGCAGGATCACCACTGATATGTCAGAAACAAAATTAAACCAACTTTGTCTTAAAAGAACTAGAACTTATTCATATCACTTGGTCCCTGTGCTGTCTGTCCCTTTGTTGTCTGCCCCTGTGCTATCTGTCCCTGTGCTATTATTGTTAGTGTTATAAATTCTTATCACAATAATATGACAAAATCATTTTTAAAAAAAACATTTGTCCAATGTTCAGCTACACTTGGGACATTCCCTTGACCTTCACAACATCTTACAGCCCAAACTTTAACCAGTCAGACCAAGATGTCAGGTGGTTAAGGAGAAATGAATCTTCAAGTAAGTCGTCGTCCCGTCCCCGTTTCCCACTCCCCCCCCCCCCCCCCCCCCCCCCCCGCGTCCAATATTTGAAGAAGAAAAAAAATACTAACAATTGAATTTCATTTTCTGAACCAAAGGGAAATTTATGTATGACTGAAATAGATGGTGTCGTTATTTTAATATCCCCAAAATAAAAAGATTTTTAATTCAAGTATCACTCAAATGGTTATAAAACATCAACTCAAATTTCTAGAAACTCAACTCAAATGTCCACGAAACATCAACTCAAATGTCCACAAAACATCAACTCAAATGTCCACAAAACATCAACTCAAATGTCCACAAAACATCAACTCAAATGTCCACAAAACATCAACTCAAATGTCCACAAAACATCAACTCAAATGTCCACAAAACATCAACTCAAATGTCCACAAAACATCAACTCAAATGTCCACAAAACATCAACTCAAATGTCCACGAAACATCAACTCAAATGTCCACAAAACATCAATTCCAATGTCCACAAAACATCAACTCAAATGTCCACAAAACATCAATTCAAATGTCCATAAAACATCTATTCAAATTTCCACAAAACATCAACTTCACTGTCCACAAAACATCAACTCAAATGTCCACAAAACATCAATTCCAATGTCCACAAAACATCAATTCCAATGTCCACAAAAATAAACTCAAATGTCCACAAAACATCAACTCCAATGTCCACAAAACATCAACTCAAAAATTCTGCTTCAACAAGTTATTTTCTGTAACATAATCCAACAGAACTGATCAATCTTGAGGCAGGAAGTTTACCTCTGGGAAGCAGTGGATGGTTCCTGGCCAATGTGGAACAGAATGGATATTATAGGGTCAATTACCAGCTGGGCAACTGGGAAGCACTCGCAAATCAGCTCAAGTCTAACCACCTGGTACATTATACTTTGATAAGCATGCCTGGGGCTCCGTCCCCCAACCAAAGCTAGTTCTGGACCTCAACCCTGTCAGCCAAAACATCTAGCCCCCACTTGGCTCTGTCCCCTAACCAAAGCTAGTTCTGGACGTCAACCCTGTCAGCCAACACATCTAGCCCCCACTTGGCTCTGTCCCCTAAAAAAAAGCTAGTTCTGGACATCAACCCTGTCAGCCAACACATCTAGCCCCCTCTTGGTTCTGTCCCTTAACCAAAGCTAGTTCTGGACATCAACCCTGTCAGCCAACACATCTAGCTCCCACTTGGTTTTGTCCCCTAACCAAAGCTAGTTCTGGACGTCAACCCTGTCAGCCAATACATCTAGCCCCCACTTTCCCCCTCCACCAGGGTTTGCATACATCAACCCTGTCCTATACATCAACCTCGTCCTATACTTCAACCCTGTCCTATACATCAACCTCGTCCTATACTTCAACCCTGTCTCATACATCAACTCTGTTCTATTCATCAACCATGTCATTTACATCAACCTTGTCATCTCAGCTTCTCTTTCCCCTACACCAGGGGTTCTCTACCTAGGATTAAAAAAAATAAATATTTTTCACACCCAAACTGGCAAGTCTCACCATGTGCATTACATCTTGAGTTATGTTTATACCCAACCTAACATTGCTGGACAAAAAGAACTGGATTTTCATGGAGGGGTGGGGGTGTAGGGAGGGGTGGGGGGAGGGTGGCTGTAATTAAAGAACTTAATTTAAAAGTAAAAATGACTCCATGCCAGATGACATTTTATTCACTCGTATTGTATGTTTATAAATCTACCTAAGCTATTTTTGTATTATAAAGTTTTGAATTCATTCTCTTCTCTGCACAGTTGATACCCATCATTAACAGAGCTCAAATCATCAACGACGCTTGGAACCTGGCAAAGTATGTTTATTTACTGTCAGCCAATAGGATTGTTGTTTTAGTGCTGCCAAAGTATGTTTATTTACTGTCAGCCAATAGGATTGTTGTTTTAGTGCTGCCAAAGTATGTTTATTTACTGTCAGCCAATAGGATTGTTGTTTTAGTGCTGCCAAAGTATGTTTATTTACTGTCAGCCAATAGGATTGTTGTTTTAGTGCTGCCAAAGTATGTTTATTTACTGTCAGCCAATAGGATTGTTACTTTAGTTCTTGCAAAGTATGTTTATCTAGTGTTAGCCTATAGGATATTTTTTTCTGGAAAATTGTGTGCGTTTAATATGAGCCAATATGATTGTTGCTTTTATTCAGGCAAAGTACATTTGAGCCAATATTTTGTTTTAATGCTCAAACAAAGGGAGATTGGTATAGCAGTGAACTGAGACAAAAACATAGCTCTTTATTTTTGTAATCATTTTTACTATCCCACCTGAAACATCATCTAGTATCCCATGGGGATGTGAGCAGGTTCGGAAAGCCTTGACTAAATTATCCTTTTAATAAGATGATATAAGTGTACTCAGTACACAATATAGACAGACTATTGAAAAATTATTGGGATTGATTTTTTAAAGGAAATCTAGTATTATACAACACAATTCTTTATTGTTAAGAAGTTTTCTGAAAGAACATTTGTGATATTAAGCCGCTATTTGACTAAAATCATTGTCTTGACAGATCCAACCAGGTAGGATTTGAAACAGCATTTAAGGTGATTGACTACCTGGACAACGAGCGTGAATATATTCCTTGGAATGCTGCGCGTCGCGAGTTGTCGTACATCAACCGAATGTTGGCTGTCAATGTGCTGTATGGACCTTTCCAGGTGACATTGTGGGGCATTAAAAATCTTAACTACAAAAACATTGACAGGATATTATGCACTGCTTTTGGGGACATTAAAAATGTAACATCATGCAGACATGTGACTCTTGCAGACACATGACATCATACAGACACATCACATGCAGACAAATCATGTGCAGACACATGGAAATATGCAGACACATAACATTGTGCAGACAGAACAACATGCAGACACATAAAAATCATGCAGACAACATTATGCAGACACATGACATCATACAGACACAGCACATGAAGGCACATAAAAATATGCAGACTCATGACATTGTGGAGACAGATCAACATGCAGACACATAACATCATGCATACAAATCGCATGAAGACACATGAAAATATGCAGACTCATAACATTGTGTAGACAGGCACATAACATCATGCAGGCACAACATTATGCAGACACATGACTTGCAGACATATGAAATCATGCATACACATGACATTGTGTGGACATGTGAGATCATGCAAACAATTGACATCCTGCAGATACATGACATTATGCAGACACATGACATCGTACATACCAATTACAAATTAAAAATCAGCATGGTAAAAATGCTGTGCATTAAATCTCAATCAGCCAATCGTCAAGAAGCTAGAAACACACACTTTCTAAGATGAGCAATGGGTATTGACATCTAAAACTTAACTCACAAGTGTTTAGTGTTATTGTGTTCCTCTTTTCACTTGCAGAAATTCATGCAGAATAAAGTCAACAGCTCTTATCAATACTTTGGCTTAAACAACACCGGATCTTCTCACACGGATGTGTAAGTTTTATTTAGGTCACTTTAACTGTCCATCTGGCAATGAAGAGACAGCTGCAATTAATTTCTCTGAAAGATGTAAATCCCTTTGATTTGACTTAAGTAATGTTAGTATGTCATTTTTAGACTTCTTTATTAGTTTGTCATTTTTAGACTTATTTGTTAGTATGTCATTTTTAGACTTCTTTATTAGTTTGTCATTTTTAGACTCCTTTGTTAGTTTGTTATTTTAGACTCCTTTGTTAGTTTGTTATTTTAGACTCCTTTGTGTGTTTGTCATTTTTAGACTCCTTTGTTAGTTTGTCAGTTTAGACTCCTTTGTTAGTTTGTCATATTTAGACTTTTTTGAGCGTGTATCTCTAGGTTCTGGAACCTGGAGATCTGACAATATGCACACAAGTTATTCTCATGGTACATCATAAGACTAAATATTAACAAATTTCTTTACTCTGGCAATTTTATCACAGATACTACATAAGTCCTATTTGAACCCTGTGTTAGGCCCCTCTTGATTATGCTCATAAAAGATGCACACTAATTTTTATGCTTTGAAATTTTTTATAACAGGGCAGCCCGTGGACTTATAACAGGTGAAGCTTGTAAGTATGGCATCCAGGCTTGTTTGGATACAACTCATGCATTGTATCAGCAATGGATGGCCAATCCGAGTGACAACCCGTGAGTCAGATGTTGTTGTTAGTTCAAATCTTAAGTAACTGCTGTATCACAATGAAAGCGAGATGTTATAGTTCAAATCTTGAGTGACTGCTGTATGACAATGAAAGTTAGATGTTATAGTTCAAATATTGAGTGACTGCTGTATCACAATGAAAGTTAGATGTTATAGTTCAAATCTTGAGTGACTGCTGTTCACAATGAAATCTAGATGTTATAGTTCAAATCTTGAGTGACTGCTGTATCACAATGAACGTTAGAAGCTATTTTAGACATAATAAATGACACACTCTGGAACTTAAAGGAACGCATAATTAATCGTTATCTTAACACATTCAAATGAACAGCAGTGTTTTATTTTAAGTCCATCGAGTCAAGGAATTTGTAGAAATCAGTCACTGGTGGCTGTCAAATAGGGTCTGTTACCACACGGTGCTCAAAGGGAGTGTGTCCAGAACGTGGCTAAAAGTTATGGACGTGCAACACCTCTTTGGTCTTAATTAAGTCAGTTAATGAGTGCTAAGGCAATATGAAGTGTTTTTTACTTCAAAAAATAAATGTGATCTTCTAGATTCTTAGACTGTGCTCATTGTGACTCTTTGTCAAATGTATTGAGATGTGTGCTATTCATAATCTAATAATGATGTTTGATTTCATCAGCATTGACCCCAACTTGAGAACCATTGTGTACTGTAATGCTATTCAAGCTGGGGATTGGGAAGAGTGGAGCTTTGGCCTCAAAGTAGGTGTTCTTTGAGTAGCATTGGATTTAAAGACATTAACGTTATTCTCTCCAGTGGAGTGGCAGGGCTTTGAAGAGTAGCCCGCCCTTTGTTTACTTCTGCTACTAGCGTGCAATCCTGATTAGTCTAAACAATTCCTGTTTGGTTCATATACTCCAACCATATTCATCCTTTGTTGGTCGATATATTTTCCGGATAACTCTCCTCTCCCGTGTTTTTAATAGGTTTTCTGCAGTTTCTGTTAGGGTCCAAGTTTCACTTGCGTATGTTAAAACTGGTCTGATTACAGTTTTATTTGTCTCTTCTTCGTTTAATAAAGTCATGCATTTTGTTTTTTTGGGTTGTTAACGCCCAGCCCTGCTTGTAGTGATGGGTCTTCTAATTCGATGAAGGCTTTTGATACATCTTTAATACTTTTCTCTAACAATGGTATATCACAAATAATTAGCATACAAGACAGTGACTCCCCTTGTCTTAGGCCTCGTCTAATCTGAAATTCCCTTGTATATTCACCCTGAACCCAGATTTTGCTTTTTGAGTTGTTCAATGTTACACGTATCATTCTTGTCAGTGTGTTGGGCATGCCAAACTCCCGCAGAGTCTCATACCGATAATTTCTTTTGATGCTTTCTGTTATAGAGTTGATGTACTGGGATATTATATTGGTCAAATTGATCTAATAGGCATCTGGTGGAAAAAATCTGACCAGTTGTTGATCTGGTTTGTCTGAAGCCACATTGGTAGTCACCCAGGACTTGTTCAGTGCACAGTTTTATTTCTTTTGGCCATTAGTTTTGTCAGTATTTTCTATATATAATATTTAAGAGGGAAATTCCTCTGAAGTTTGTGCACTGAAGTTTGGATCCTTTATTGTGTATTGGGGTTATTAATGCTGTTTCCCATTCTGTTGGAATTTTCTCTTCTTGCCAAATTTTGTTTATTTTTCCCTCTCTTGATAAGTCTTCTATTTCTCTTAGTTTAGCTTTTTCCAATTCCCTCTTTTTCTTCCTACACATTTTTGTGGCTTCCCTTCGGCTTCCTTGTATGTTTGTCTTGTCCTTCTGGTCTCCTTTTGTATCATGGACATTCGTGCGTTGTTCCTTTCTTGGACAGTCCCTGCATTCATTATCAAACCAGCCTTTTTGGTAAAAATATTGTGAATATTTCTATATCACCATAAGCATGGGGTACATATGTCAACATTTCTCTATCATCAGATTTATGGGGTACATATTATATGTGAATATTTCTATATCACACTAAGCATGGGATACATACGTCATGTTTCTCTTTCATCAGATGTATGGGGTACATGTTATATGAGAAAATTTTGGCACTATAGCTTCAAAAGAGTGCTCTCCCTATGACTTCTTTCTGTGTCCATCCACACTGGGAACCCTCAGTAAGGACTGTGTTGAAGGACGAATGTTATGCACGGATACATGTTCAGAAATCAGTTGTTTAAGAGTTCAGGTGTAGAGTCTTCTATACAACTGTATGCCAGGGACAGAATTTTGGCACTCACTCACAGGAAGCCAATGGAGATCTTTAAGAACTGGGGTGATGTGGTCAGATTTCTTTATCCAGGATACAATGCCTGCTGCAGTATTTTGTGCCTTCTGGAGTCTCTGAATTTGGTTTTGAGGTAAACCCCACAAACAACTGTTACAGTAATCTAATCTTGACTGGATTAGACTTACTGCTACGGCATTGGCTATTCTCTTATTGAGTTGATAATGCAAACTTTCAGATCATATCTCAATATTGCTCTGTCATCAATAATGTACGGTGTATATATTCTGGTTCTACTTGTGTTCGTTACTGCATCCATGTACTGGTATCTGTGTAACGGTTGGGGGTATGATGTTGCTATTCTAACAGCTCCTAGCTGATGCCAGGGCAGCCTTGAAGCTTTTGACCGATGTCAAGTTCACAGTGGCATTGTCCAGGTTGTTCCATGCTATTATTGTGCGTGGGAAGAAAGATTGTTTATACTGCACTGTGTTGCATTGAGGCAATTTGAAGCATTTGCTATTGTTTCACGTGTGATTGTTGATGATTGTTGGGAATGTCAGTGGTAAAGTCAGTGTTCAGTGAGCGTTTTGCTCTGATCAGTCTACCCGAAATAATTGCCATGTCAATATTTCTCTACCATCAGATGTATGGTGAAGCCAGTGTTGCCTCAGAGAAAGTCAACCTGCTCAAAGCTCTGTCTTGTGCAAGTAAACCATGGATTCTCAACAAGTAAGAAGAGAAGATTACAGTTGAGATCAATAAAAGAACTTACCGGAAATCAATAACAGAACTTACCCCAAATCTATAACATAACTTATCCCAAATGTAAAACAAAACTTATCCTAAATAAATAACAAATTATTCCAAATCAATAACAGATTTTATCCCAAATGTATAACAAAAATGATCCCAAATCAGTAACAGATCTTAACGTGTCACAAATCAATGACAGAACTAATCCCGGTGGATATCTAAACATTTTAAAATAATATGGAAAAGAAAGATAACCCCCTAAATTGGGCCCCTAATACTTTTAAAGGTTTTTCATGGCTTCGTTTTGTCTAGGGCCTAAGGTGAAAACTGAATACTGATTGCCACAGATTCCCTCCCTGGAATTTCAGCCATGTAATGATAAGGATTGGGGAGCTAATAACTATTAGTTTTGTCAGGAAGTCTTTGCAAACTGTCTGTGGACCTAAGACAGTGTCGTGGCTAGGCATTTGGGGGCCCGGGGGGCTTGGCCTCTTTAGGGGCCCCTGCATTTTGACATTTGGATACTCCTTTGGGGGCCCTCCTCTAATAGGAGCCTGGGGTGACTTTTGAATTTGGACCCCCCTCCACTAGCTACGCCACTGACCTAAGGCATGTTTGCATGCTTCTGATCAAGATCTTTATTAACAATATGGAAAGTACCGGGGTTGCAAGTTCATGGACACCAGGCTGACACTGTGGAAGGCTCTGATGGCTTAAAGATGATTTATGGGATGTAACAGAGCTCTGGTGGCTTAAAGATGATTTATGTTAGTAACAGAGCTCTGGTGGCTTAAAGATGATTTATGGGATGTCACAGAGCTCTGGTGGCTTAAAGATGATTTATGGGATGTAACAGAGCTCTGGTGGCTTAAAGATGATTTATGTTAGTAACAGAGCTCTGGTGGCTTAAAGATGATTTATGGGATGTAACAGAACTCTGGTGGCTTAAAGATGATTTATGGAATGTAACAGAGCTCTGGTGGCTTAAAGATGATTTATGGCATGTAACAGAGCTCTGGTGGCTTAAAGGTGATTTATGTTAAGTAACAGCTCTGGTGGCTTAAAGGTGATTTATGGGATGTAACAGAGCTTTGGTGGCTTAAAGATGATTTATGGGATGTAACAGAGCTCTGGTGGCTTAAAGATGATTTATGGGATGTAACAGAGCTCTGGTGGCTTAAAGATGATTTATGGGATGTAACAGAGCTCTGGTGGCTTAAAGGTGATTTATGTTAAGTAACAGCTCTGGTGGCTTAAAGATGATTTATGGGATGTAACAGAGCTCTGGTGGCTTAAAGGTGATTTATGTTAAGTAACAGAGCTCTGGTGGCTTAAAGGTGATTTATGGGATGTAACAGACCTCTGGTGGCTTAAAGGTGATTTATGTTAAGTAACAGAGCTCTGGTGGCTTAAAGATGATTTAAGGGATGTAACAGAGCTCTGGTGGCTTTCTGGAGCCCAAATTTCAACTGTTTGAACTATAATATTGAGAAATATTGGCTAATAATAAGTTGTTAATTTCTAATCTCCACAGCTACATGGCAATTATTCTGGACAGCAACTCCCCCATCCGTAAACAGGATGCTCTCTCTGTGATCTCACAGATCTCATCTAACACAGTGGGCCGGGCACTGGCCTGGAACTTCTTCAGGAGCAACTTTAACCAGCTGAAAGATTTGTGAGTCAATAGATTATTTTTTAGGCTTACTTTTCAGTAGAAAAGCATATAAAATAAGATAGATAAGAAAAGATAGATAAGAATATTTTAGTGATCCAAATAAATGGTAATCTTTTTGATTAAAATTGATATATTATTATTACCCAAACCAGCAATGCATAGAAGTATATAACATTTTTACCACAGAGGTCTAACTTTATAAATGAAGAGGAATGGATGTATGGACTGACTGACTTTGTAACAGATGAGGTTTTGACTCAGATGTGGCCAAAGTCCTGACATTCTCCAATATGAATCCACTACATATGTATGTTGTTTGACCAACTGACTTTGACTTGTTAATCTGGCCCTGAGATGACCAATACCCACTGATTTAGTTGGTTAAGTTTTTGACAACATTGGCCAGCTGCTGATCCAGCCATCATTCTCATATATGATCAACAATTTGAGTTCATGTCATACGGACACACTTTGAGCAAATAGCATACCATTCGGTGGTCAAGATATGATCCCTTCAGTAGGCAGTGTTGAACTGACACACATTGGGCTAATAAAACTATAGATCAGTGGCTCTCAACCTTCCTAATGCAGCGACCCTATAATACAGTTCCTCATGTTGTGGTGGTGAACCTCAACAAAAAATTATTTTCATTTTCACTTCATAAATATGTGTTTTCCGATGGTCTTAGGCGACTACTGTGTAAGGGTCGTTCGACACCCAGGATGAGAACCGCTGCCATAAATGGTCACTATAAGACCAAACTTTATTATTTGATTTCTAAGAGTTTTGCAGATTTGCCAAAGATGATTCATTTTACTATCTTGGTAGCAACATACAGAAGCGTAGCTAGAGTATTTGGCACTGGGGACAAGATTCATTTTATAAAGCCTCCCTCTCTTCTTTCAACTCTCAAACCCATTATTTTCATCAATAAAATAATATCAAAGCACATTTTGGCACCCAGGGACATCTGTTCCCCTCTGCCCCCCCCCCAACGCCTCTGGCAACATAAGAAATGTACAGCTGATTTTGTATTTTCTTTTCCCGTAACTGTATCCAGGTTTGGCAGTTCATTTTTTTCATGGACCGACGTCATTGATTCTGTCACCAGAAATTTCAATACACCATTCGAGCTTGAAGAGGTGGGTCAAGTATTTATGTGAATGTGTTTTTATGCTGTGGGCAGATCCACATAGGCAGTTAAAGGGAAATGGTGGATAAATTATAATAAATTGTTGCACCATTTTTGCTTAGACAAAGAGGTGAGATACATGATCTTGTTGGCTGCCGTCCATGGTTTGCCTTGTAAATGTCATAGGGTTCATGCTGTTCTTTATTTCATAATTGTATTTGATTTTAATGTCATGATTATGTCTCTTTTGATAATATTTTTATGTCCAGCGCGGTGAGCCCAGCCCTAGGCTGAGGTACCGCGCTATAAAAGACCACTAATTATTATTATTATTATTATCATACATGGGACAGATGGGGCACCATTATTTCTGGGACCAATTTACATGGGACAGATTGGAAACCATCATTGTTAGGACTTCTATACATGGGACAAATAGGGCCCCTTCATTGCTAGGACCCATACATATGGAACAGGGCCCATACATACGGAACAGGGCCCATACATACGGAATAGGGCCCATACATACGGAACAGGGCCCATACATACGGAACAGGGCCCATACATACGGAACAGGGCCCATACATACGGAACAGGGCCCATACATACGGAACAGGGCCCATACATACGGAACAGGGCCCATACTTACGGAACAGGGCCCATAATCTTAGCACAAAAATAAAAGAAAGTGCAATCATCTAATATGGTCTTCAAGAAATAACTAGGGGAACAAATTAAACAGCTTTGGGAACAAATTAAACAGCTTTGGGAACAAATTAAACAGCTTTGGGAACAAATTAAACAGCTTTGGAACAAATTAAACAGCTTTGGAACAAATTAAACAGCTTTGGGAACAAATTAAACAGCTTTGGGAGCAAATTAAACAGCTTTGGGAACAAATTAGCGACTTGATGAACAGATTAACAGCTATGGGAACAAATTAACAACTTGTGGAAAAAATTAACAATTTGGGGAACAAATTAACAACTTTGGGAACAAACTGACAACTTGGGGGGGGTGGGGATTAACAACTTGGGGACAAAATTAACAACTTGGGGTACAGATCTTGCGGAATAAATTAACAACTTGGGTAACAGATCTTGGGGAGCAGATCTTGGGGAACAAATTAACAACTTGGGAATAAAATAACAACTTGGGGAAAAATTAACAACGTGGGGAACAAATTAACAACTTGGGAAACAGATCTTGGGGAACAAATTAACATTTTGGGGAACAAATTAATAATTATGGGAACAAATTAAACAGCTTGGAAATAAATTAACAGCTTGGTGAACAGATTAACAACTTGGGGAACAAATTAACAAATGGGGGAAAAATTCATGAGGAACAAAGTAACAAATGGGGGAAAACCTTGGGGAACAAATTAACAACTCAGGGGAACAGATCAACAACTGGGGAAACACACTTATATTTGTACTTACTAAGAAAAGAAGTATTCCCAAAATATTTCAACATACTTGTATTTGTACTTATTAAGAAAAGGATGTAATACCAAAATAGTTAAACTTACTTGTAAATGTAGCCCATAAAGTTTCATGATTTAATATTATCATGGTAGGTGAAATATTTTAATTGTATCAGGACAGTGGTCGGCAAACTCATTAGTCAAAAGAGCAAAAAATCAGCAGCAGGACGATTAAAAAATGTTTGAGAGTCAAATTCATTTTTAAGAACCTGTCAAGAACCATGTTTTTTGGAGTCAAAACCAATTTGTGGCTGACAGGCAGAGCCGCACTCAGGTCGCTAAGGGCTGCATGCGGCACGCAAGCCGAAATTTGCCGACCTACTGTACTAGGAAAAGGATAGGGGACTAATGTCAAAATTGTTATGCAATGTATGTTTATTTCTAATAGGTAAAGGCCTTCAGGAAAAGTCAGGAAGGCAACTTTGGTTCAGGGGAGAGAGCCATTGAGCAGGCTGTGGAGAAAGTCAGCTCTAATGTGAAATGGATGCAGGCAAATGAACAAGTGATCAGAAGATTTTTGACAACTACAGGATATATAAGCTAATTTGATTGGTTTAAAGTACTGGTCATTTAATAACAATGTACCTGATTGGTCAATTCCATTGATTGGTTGATATGATATATGAATCCTTCTTTATTATTACTTTGCTTATTCGTTTCACCAACCCCACCCCACCTTACTACATTTTAAACCATGCTACTCGAAACTGATTCAGACCCAACACATCTTACTACATTTTAAACCATGCTACTTGAAACTGATTCAGACCCACCCCACGCCACTACATTTTAAACCATGGTACTTGAAAGTGATTCAGACCCACCCCACCCCACTCTGAAAATGAGATGGAGTATATGTTAATGTAATGATACTTCAGTTTTTATGTTTCAACAACTGTAATAGTGATGTACTCATTTGAAAAACAAAGCCTTTACAAATATTTAAAATAATATGTACATTTTGATTCCCTTACTTATATGTGATGTGTATTTACAGTCAATAACCAGATGCTAATGTTATAATAATTTTTATAGATAATAATCTCAGTGCTATCAGGATTTATTAAGTTATTTAATATTACTCAGCAATTATTGTGAAGCTCAGCAGTCATATTTGTTTCAGTAACATTACAATCAAAATCATTGGAAATCCTATGGGACCATCCATATAGTATGTACGCACTAAGTGGGGAAGGGTTATGGATCGTCCATTTTGTAGTTTTTGCATATGCCTGAGTTGTTGAAAGCTCTTTGTACGTAGGCATGGGGGGGGGGTGTTTAAAAAAATATGTGTACAACAGGTGGGAGCGGGTAAAAAAATGGTTATTTTTTGAATATGTACCATATGGATGGTCCCTTACTTGCCTCCTTAAAGCTTTCCACTTGAAGAGTCCTACACATTGTTTTATACATGGATCTTTCTAAATGGACCTGTTGACTTAAATATTTCCATTGATGTATGTTGATTTGTATGTTTATATCTCTTAATTCATATGTGTGTACACGTTCAAAATTGATCAAGCGATATGTATTTATTAATTCATACTCCGAATAAACATTGTTACAGGATATTTTAAAGCTGTGACATTAAAGAATGTGGATGTTGAAAACTTTTGCTGTTGTGTGGCTAGCACAAGACAATGGGGAGGTCATGGTCATGGTCAGATCCAAAGCCAATTCATCGTAAAGTTCCGACATAGCCATCCACCATATTTTAAATAAGGCCAGCTGTTCTGAAAGGCTCCCAACCGTATTGTATCGTGTCATCTATTGACTTTTACTTGTTTTAATTGACAAAAAAATGTTGTTTTTTTAAACTTCAAAAGTTGAATGTCATTTCAATAAGGTGAGGTATGATAAATTTTTACATGCACCCAAAGGAAATTTTTCCTATGGTCAATTACTTCCAATCTTTATATCTACCAATGTTGACATGCTCATACATATATATATCTCTATATATCTATACATATATTTTATAATATATATCTATATATATATATATATATATATATATATATATATATACATATATTATATATATATATCTGTATATATATATATATATATAAAAATATATATATATAGAAAAAAGTAGCTGCTTCCAATTTGATTTTTGAGTGGGATTAAATTTCTCCCCCCACCAGGTTGTTTTTTTTGCATCCCCCCCCCCCCCGGCAAACTTTTGCATTTCCCCCAGGTAAAAGTAAAAAAAAATGTTTTTTTTCAATGTGAAGAAATCAAGGGGCCTGAGTTTTTTGTTTTGATTGTGACTCTTGAATCGTAGCAGTTGAGTTGATGGCGTAGTTTATGTTTGGATTTTCGCTGACGGCGGAGCTCCAGTCCATAGGTTTGGAATCGACACATTTTTTAACGCAAAGCCATCCAGCCTCCCACTTGATTCATGAATTCTAAGAATTAAAGCTAAAAAAATCAATGTATAGACCGATTAAAATTCCTTTTTTTTACAACCACTGGGTTGATGGTGTTATTTGCTGAAAAAATTAAAGAATTATGGAGCTTTTTTTTCCAAAATTATCAAAAAAATTCAATCATAATTGTTTATTGAATAGTCAACAATTATCTAACAGTTTTGTTAAAAACTCTAAATACATTTATACCGATGTTCATGGTGAACTCTCTAATTTAATTCAAATTACCATGACCCACAGAATTTACCAAGTCCAGGGGGGTGGGGGGGGGGTTGGTTTTCACCCAGGTGGGGGTGGGGGGGGGGCAAGAATGATGTCACTATATATATGTTTTAGATGCCACTGTATCTTTATATATGACAGATGCCACTATCTAATCCGTGACAGATGCCACTATCTATATGTGACAGCTGCCTCTATCTATACATGACAGATGCCACCATCTATACGTGACAGCTGCCACTATCTATATGTGACAGATGCCACTATCTATATGTGACAGATGCCACTATCTATATGTATAAAAAACATACCAGAGTTTAAAGGCCAAAATTTCATAAACAAACATTCCCCCCCCCCCACTGGAAAAGCTAATTTTACCAGATATATTTGAATCCAGGCCAAAAAGAAACACAAAAACCCAGATGACCATGTAGGTCACCACAACTAAGTATCACCACAACTAAGCTATCACCACAACTAATTTACCTCTACTACTAAGTTATCACCACAACTAAGTTAACACAACAACTAAATTATCACAACTAAATTATCACCACAACTTAGTTATCACAACTAAGCTATTACCACAACAAATTTATCACTACAACTAAGTTACCACCTCAACTAAGTTACAACCTCAACTAAGTTACCACCACAACTAAGGTGTGGATTCCTGCAAAAGTGAAAAAAAAACATTTTCTGTTTCCATCAAAAAAAAATGTATTTATATTTTTAAAAGAATCAGACATATGTTTAAATCTTTAAGGTGCAAGAAATTGTCTACACATAATTTGTATTGTGTACATAGTACATTGTTCATAGACTATGCAGCTGAAATACCTATGCAGGGAATGTATTATGTACATGGAAAAAAGTTTATCTATATTTTAATAAATTCATCTTTATTCCAAAAAAAAATCGTAATGAGCAATTTTATTTGAATTGTTTTTCTCAAAGATCAAGTCAGTCTTTTTTAATAGTTTTATGTTCTCAAATATAATATGTTGTTCTGAATTTACTGCAAGGCTGGTGAAATTGCTCATCCTATTTGATTTTGACGTCACATATGTTTTGTGCAGGTGTTGTTTCAATTTGACATCACATATGTTTTGTGCAGGTGTTGTTTCAATTTGACATCACATATGTTTTGTGCAGGTGTTGTTTCAATTTGACATCACATATGTTTTGTGCAGGTGTTGTTTCAATTTGACATCACATATGTTTTGTGCAGGTGTTGTTTCAATTTGACATCACATATGTTTTGTGCAGGTGTTGTTTCAATTTGACATCACATATGTTTTGTGCAGGTGTTGTTTCAATTTGACATCACATATGTTTTGTGCAGGTGTTGTTTCAATTTGACATCACATATGTTTTGTGCAGGTGTTGTTTCAATTTGACATCACATATGTTGTCTGCAGGTGGTCTTAATGTTTCCAAAAGGGTATATATTCGACTTTACCATTAACAATTGTCTACCAAGTATATGGATGAAGTTAACAATTGTCTACCAAGTATATGGATGAAATTAACAATCGTCTATCAATTATATGGATGCAGTTAACAATTGTCTACCAAGTATATGGATGAAGTTAACAATTGTCTACCAAGTATATGGATGAAGTTAACAATTATCTTCCAAGTATATGAATGAAGTTAACAATTGTCTACCAATTATATGGATGAAGTTAACAATTGTCTACCAATTATATGGATGAAGTTAACAATTATCTGTCAATTATATGTATTAAGTTAACAATTAGCTATCAATTATATGGATGAAGTTAACAATTGTCTACCAATTATATGGATGAAGTTAACAATTGTCTATCAATTATATGGATGAAGTTAACAATTATCTATCAATTATATGGATGAAGTTAACAATGATCAACCAATTATATGTATTAAGTTAACAATTATCTATCAGTTATATGGATGAAGTTAACAATTATCTATCAATTATATGGATGAAGTTAACGATTGTCTACCAAGTATATGGATGAAGTTAACAATTGTCTACCAAGTATATGGATGAAATTAACAATTCTCTATCAATTATATGGATGAAGTTAACAATTGTCTACCAAGTATATGGATGAAGTTAACAATTGTCTACCAAGTATATGGATGAAGTTAACAATTATCTACCAAGTATATGGATGAAGTTAACAATTGTCTACCAATTATGTGGATGAAGTTAACAATTGTCTATCAATTATATGGATGAAGTTAACAATTGTCTACCAAGTATATGGATGAAGTTAACAATTATCTACCAATTAAATGGATAAAGTAACAAGTGTTTACCAATTGCATGGATTTAATTTAATTTTGGAAGCCATCTCTCCGACAATCTGTTACAAACTTTAGACCATACTAATGATCTATATTTTTCTGTAGCATGGGGGTGGCAGAGGTGGCGCTCGCTCCCCCTTAGACCATTTCCCCCAAAACTCATGTCATGGCAAAGATATAACGTTTTGTTTCGTAAATATAAATCTTTTGATAATTTCGAGAATTCTTTTCTTTATATCGATGTGATTTCTTTAAAAGGGTAACACTTAGGCCAAGCAACTTGAGCCAAATCCATTGTGTCTCCATTCTCCACTGCTGATCTTGCCCCATTCTTGAATTGTAGTGCAAATACACAAAAATGGAAAGGCTTGGATTAGAAAGATAGTCCCTGGGAGGGTTTCTAATGCGTGAGATAAACCTCTGGGTTCACCATTCAAATGTGGGACAGTGTCGCCGAGATCCAACGGGCGTCTTGTATACAGAGCCTTTTGGGGGGCTGGATATATATATATATATATATATATATCATATAAAAACAGATTTTTAAAAATAATTTATTATTATTTAAGTAGCTTAAACAAATAACAAGTTTAAATGCAAATAATGAAACAACATGACCATTTGGTAAAAACTAAAACAAATGAAAAAACATTACTCTTTGGTAAGGGGTCGTTCGCAAAGTACATCAAGCTCAAAGGGGGGGGGGGGGTGTCGAGAATTTCCAGACATTCCGATTTTTTAAAATATTTTTTTTAATCTAAAATTTTCTATTTTTGAAAAATCTTTATGCATTTAATTTTAAAAACATTAATTTGAGGTCGAAAGGTATTATAGGCACCGTGGAACTCAGTCCCGAAAAAAATTAGGGGGGGGGGGGGGGGGGGGGGGGTGTCGAGAATTTCCAGACATTCCGATTTTTTAAAATATTTTTTTTAATCTAAAATTTTCTAATTTTGAAAAATCTTTATGCATTTAATTTTAAAAACATTAATTTGAGGTCGAAAGGTATTATAGGCACCGTGGAACTCAGTCCCGAAAAAAATTTGCGCATATCGGAAAATGAAGCAAAAATTGTTGTGGCCATTTTACATTCGGCTTGAGGATGACTTGGTTATTTCGCGTCACAGTTATATAATACTACATACTACATCTTAATCCATTATCGCTCTATTACACAATTTTAGTTTTTTATGGAAAAAAATTGTTTTGATTGCATACTTCATAGTTATTAGACTTAAATAAACATAATATGCAAGAAAAATAAATTTTAAAAATAAAATAATGATTTTATTGGTATGTTGCCGTATGGCAACAGTGCGTCTAAAACTTAAAGGTCAGAAAAGTAAAACTGAACAAGAAAAGGAAACGATAACAATAATATTTTTAAAAGGTGAATATTTAATCGTTTACACAAACAATGGTAATCAGTACTTAGCTTACATGCATATCTTCATATTATGCTTTTATATCATGAAAAAGATCATTATGAAAATCTTATTTTATAAGCATTTTTTTACACAAAAATATATAAAATCATGTCATCAATATATAGAGCATATAGAGGGTCAGTAAATATTTATATACATATGTGAAATGCAGGTTTAATGCTGGTGGAACTGTTTGAAGCAGTATGAACTTAACATTTTTCACATTTTATTCTTGAAAATCCTTTGCAGCATGGTCTCTTGCATCTTCCTTGGTTTTCAAGTGGCTCAGGAAAGTGCGGAATATAATCAGATCTTACTGGTAAGGGTGGAACAGCTGCAGTAGGACCTCTCATTTTTAGCCGCAAGTTGAGGCTCTATATCGAATGAAGGACTGCCAAGTTTCCTAAACCCTGCTTTACCTTCTATCATTAGGCATATGGCCATCTGGGTGTTGAAATCAAGTACACCGAGGATTTTTTTTGTCGCAATTTGCATTAGTACAATCAGCCTATAGATCAGCCATGCCAGCACAACTGCCATACTGGTACCGGTATCCAGAA